TGGTTTTTTTTCCTTGGAGCGGCTCGAAACTCATTTTTTTCTGGGTGATTTTCAAGGGCGAAATGGGATGGGGTGGTTTGGGAATTCATTTGCCTCTTTCCGTGGTTTAAAGTTAAAGGTTTCCGATTTTTAGGAAAACCAACCCCGGGCAATAATTAACGTTGATGCTGGCCGGTTCTCGTCTGCAGCGTGTAACTCCCAGGTAGACCCCGGCGGGTCTGTCCCCTCCTCGTGTGGATTTTGGCGACACGGAAGAATAAAGTCCCGCTCGGAAATCGCGGGGAAGCCTCGGCTCAGCCCTCGCCCGTCCCTGTCAGCTCCGCCGCCGGCCACGCCGGGATAATTTGCTTATTCCCAGCCAGAGCGGTGTTTGTTTTGGTCGGCCTCTTAAAAGGGGGAAGAAGAAAAAAAAAAAAACAACAAAAAAACAACCAAGAGAAATGTGAGGGCAAAAGAAAACCGCTCTCGTTAAAATGGCAAGGAGCTTCCTCAGCCCCGCTCTGCATTTCTCTCCTCCACATACTGAAGGTATAAGCCCTCAGGTCCGTGATTTTCTCGAACTTGAGCCCCTTATTAGAAAGAAAAAAAATATGAAAAAATTAATAACGGTAAAAAGGAGGGGTGGGGGAGCCCATCTCCCAGGCTGGGCAGGGCACTGCTCCTCCAGGACGCGGCCGCGGGCGGCTGCGAGCCCAAGCGTTATAATTCTGCGCACTTGCTCCAGACTTTAGGGTATTAGTTGATTTTAGAGCCGGGTTTAAGGCTCCGTTCCGGTCCCCACACAGCTGCCTTGTCAATAAGGATCTGTTCCAAGCAGACATTCCTTCTGGGAGGACATTGCAGCTCTTTAAGACTTCATCTGCAACATCATAAGTACTAAAATAAAATGGCAAGGGAAAATTACCAGACACATGGTCATGGGATATAGAAGCGCCCTGACTCCAGCGTACATAGTAAAGTCACTGTACAGACTGGGTGGCAGGGGCTTATTTTAAACAGCCCCGAGACGCGAAGTACATGGGAAAAACAACAATCCGGATTTAGGGAAATATGGGGACCAGCCTTTCCCATACCGTGTGGCGGGCAGAGGCTGCGGGCGGGGGGCGGGCAGCGGGAGGGCTGCCGGCCCCGGCTCGGAGCCCTTCTCCGCCTCGGCCACAAACGCGCTGCTCTTAACTTTGAGCATTTAAAGTCGGATAAATCCGAATGCCTTTAGCGAAGACAAACAGGTTTTAAGGAGCCCCGCGACGGTTATTAGCACCCGCGGAGCGAACTCGTTCTTGAATCAAAAGCGTTCTGGAGTGTGCTTAAAATACTGGTTTCGACTTATCTAATCAAAGATAAATGCAGTCATAAAGACACCTCCTTCCCACCGCTCCCCTGCCCTTATCTCACCGCATTGTCCTCATCTCCCAGCCCGTCCTCGCTACTGACAATAGATTATCCTTGCTCGGGGAGCCTAATTGTTTTCTAATTTTTTAAATAATTGCTTTTGAACCAGGTGTGCAAATGAGGATTAGGCTAATTAAAGCGCCG